GAAAAATGTCTATTCAGATCCTCTGCCTGCTTTTTAGTCAGATTTTTTATTTTTTGTTATTTATTGAGGTGTATGAGTTCTTTATATATCTTGGATATTAACCTGTTATCAGATAGATGATTTCTGAATATCTTCTCCCATTCAGTAGGTTGCATTTTCATTTTGTTGATGGTTTCCTATACTGTGCAGAAGCTTTTTAGCTTGATGTTTTTGATTTTTTTCCTCTTGCCTTTGGAGTCAGATCCAAAATAACACTACTAAGATTGATGTCAAGGAGCTTATCACCTATGTTTTCTTCTATGAGTTTTATGGATTGAGGTCTACATTCAAGTCTTTAATCTATTTTGAGTTAACTTTTGTATATGGTATAAGATAGTGGCCCAGTTTCATTCTTTTGTATGTAGCTGTTTAGTTTTCCCAGCACCGTTTATTGAAGAGACTGTCCTTTCCTCATTGTATATTCTTGCCTCCTTTGTTGTGAATTAATTGATGATCTATGTTTGGGTTTATTTCTGGGCTCTCTGTTGTGTTCCATTGATCTGTGTGTCTGTTTTTATGCCAATATCATACAGTTTTGATTACCATTGCGTTGTAATATAGTTTGAAATCAAGGAGGGTGATACCTCTGGCTTTGTTCTTCTTTCTCAAGATTGCTTTGGCTATTTCAGGTCCTTTGTGGTTTCATACAAATTTTAGAATTATTTTTTCTAGTTCTGGGAAAAAGTCATTGGAATTTTGAAAAAAAATGCATTGAATCTGTAGATTGCTTTGAATAACATGAACATTTTAACAATGCTAATTCTTCCAATCCATGAGGACTGATTATCATTCCATATATTTGAGTATTCTTCAGTTTCTTTCTTCAATGTCATATAGTTTTCAGTGTACAGGTATTTCACCTCCTTGGTTAAATTTATTCCTAGGTGTTTTTTCTTTTTGATGCAATTATAAATCGGTACCAAAGATTTTCAAATTGGAGATATAAACAAATACAATGGATTGTAAGTCACCCAGGCCAAAAGGGTCACTTTAATGTGTGTATCGTTCAGCTGGGCACCACAAATAGATTGTCTGCATAACACGTTAGAGAGTGCAGTCAGCCAGCACCACATACCATATGGTTCTCACTTTTATGGGAGAAAACACTGGACATATTCTGTTGTAGTCTCTAAATCATTGCCTGATGAAGTATCAGTAAAACTTGCCTGAGTTTTGATTTTTACAGTAATGTGCAAACACTACTAATAAGGGCAAACGTGATCATTAGAAAATACTATGATGTCTTTAACTTGATGGAAATAAAGTAAAAGTTAATGTTTTATATAGGAAATTGGTTAATAATTATATGACTTAGCTAGTCTAGAGTATATTGCCGTAGTTACTGCCTCATAATTAATTCCATGCTTATGGACCCAGCAAAGGAGGTAAGTTCTGGGAACAGAAAGAAGGAGGAGCAAACATTTGGAAGTAATTTAAATTTAAATTTATATTTTTGATAGGATTTCTTTCTAAATCTCTGTAAATCCCCTTGAAAATATATTTCAGGTTGGGTAGAATATAATCATAGGTCATTTATAGAGTTCTAAGCATTTCAATTTTTTTATATTGAAGCATAATTCTCATTTGCGATAGAGGACATGAATAGCTTAAACAGAGTATATCTTCTAAATACAAACTTTAATATCAGCAAATTTTTTTCTAGAGGAAATATAGCAGCAATAATGCAGATACATGTGAGGACATGAATTTTTTCCTCCACTAAGTTTGAGGCATCTTGGGATCTTGGTAGAGAGGATTTCCTGAGAATGGGGCTAGGAAAACTAGCTCAGCTTCAAGGCTGACCTAGGTAGAGTTCACACCACAGAATATGAAAGGATGTGATAAATTTGGAGATGAGTAGTTGACTTCATTTAAGATTATATGCAAAAAACATCCCCTGAAACCTTTTTGAAAAGAAATTAGTTTAGTTTGATTTACATACAATAAAATGTCCCTGTTTAAGTGTAGATTTTAATGAGTAACCACAATCAAACTATGGAATACTTGCATCACCCCAAAATGGGCCCGCATGACCCTTCTCTGTCAGTTCAGTATCCTACAATCAACCCCAAGAAATCACTGATCAACTTTTTTGCATTACAGATTAAATTTCTTTTTTCTAGAGTTTCATATAAAAGCAATCATAGGATATTGATGCTTGATGTCTAAATAAAGGTCCTAGGACGATTTGTTTACAAGTCTTTCGGAGGCATATATCTTCATTTCTCTTGGATGAATACCTAGGATAGGAATTGCTAGGTTTTAGTATGTATGTGTTTAGTATTTAATAAACTGCCAAAAATGCTTTGCAAGGTGGTTGTAGAATTTATATTCCCCTTGGTAAAGAATAAGAGTTTTAGTTGCTCCACAAATTGACCGATAGTTGGCATGGTCAATCTTTAGGATTTTAGCTATTTTAATAAGTATGTATCGGTATTTAATTGTGGTTTTAGTTTGCATTTCCCTGATAACAAATGAGTTGAGTATTTTCATGTATGTCTTGTCTACTTATATAACTTTTTTGTATGTCATCTGTTTAAATCCCTTTCCTATTTTATATTGGGTCATTTACTTATTTTTGAGTTGTGAGATTTTTTTTAATATTTATCATACAAATTCAAAGTTTGAGACATGTATTGTGAATATCTTCTCCTGATCAATGGCTTGCCTTTTCATTTTCTTTACAGACTCTTTTGAAGATGAAGTTTAGCTTATCAATTATTTTTCATGTTTATGCTTTTAATGCTTAATAAACTTTTGCCCATCCCAAAGCCTTGTAGTTTTTCTCCTATACTTTGTTCTAAAGTTTTATTTTATTTTAGTGTTAGCTTTTATATTTAGGTCTGTGATTTATTTTGAGTCCATTTGTTTGTATGACATGAAATAAAAGTCAAAGTGTATTTTTTTCCGTATGAATATGTAGGTTGTCTCAGGACCATTTACTGAAAAGACTTTTTTCCCCAATGAAGGACCTTGGTAACTTGAAAATGAATTGATCATATTAATTGATCAATAAATGGAGAGATTAAGATAAATTTTCCAAGATTGTACAGCTAATAAGAAAGTCACAAGGTTGGATCATAAAACCAGGAAATCTGGCTCCAGAACCTGTACTCTAAATTTATTCTACACTAAACCTTAAGAGAGCTAGAAATACAATTCCAGGCGAGTTCAGAAGAGAGACAAGTTGGCTTCTGTGCTGGCCTTAGAAACAAAGGTCAAACCTTGCCAGACAAAATTAAGAAGGAATAGAGGCAGGGGAAACTGTCCATTTATCATTTTACTGACATGTATGACTTAGTTGCTGAAAAGAAATTTAGTAGTTATCAAGTGCAAGTTACTCTTTTAAATTAAGAACATAGGACACAGAAATGATAATTGATTCTAAAAAGGTCATGCAGCTAATTAGAGAAAAGTCTGGGAAAAGAACCTAGGTTTCCTAACTTCTGGCTCAAAGCTCTTTCTACAAAACCTCCTAGTTTGCATACATACTGTACAGATTGTTCTATTATGTGCTATTTGCACGAGTCTCAGTCTTTTTCAACAGGGCTATTCATCATTCTGAGGGCGGGGACTGCAGCATATAGAAGGTAGTTCCAAGAGCAAAGATAAATGATACCTATCAAAACCCAAGGATATTACCTTATAGTGTATGTTTAAAAAAAAATACTAACATGTACGGTGCGTTCACTTAAACTAATGAAATGTAACAAATTTTCAGTGATATTCTAACAGGTACATAGTATGAGCAGCAATCTATCCCAGGTGATGGAAATACGAAGATGAATTGTGAAATGATAATTACATACACAGGTGCTTAAACATGGCATCCTATCTCATTATTTGATGTCTTTGCTTGGAGTGCCCTCCCACATAATATCCATACTCATTTCAAGTGCTTCTTACTCTGAGAAACCTTCCTGAACCCCAGGACCTAGTTGGATGGAGTTTAAAACACACTCTTTCAATCCCCTATCTGCTTTGTCCCTACCTGTTAAGAGCACTTAGCACTCCATATTGCATCCTGTTGTGTAAAAGCTTGACATTTGTATGAGACTTGGCAAATTAGGAGGTCACATTCTAATTTTCTTGTTCAAATTTTTATCCTCATCCAAGCACAATCCAACTGAACTCCAACACAATAATTGACACATAGTATGTACTGAATAAACTAATTAATGCTGAATAAATAGTGATACACTTTCACCTTAATAGATACATGGGCTTAACAATTTGGGGAAAGTGTTTTCCAATGTCCATATGGATTAAATCAATGATGTAATAATAATAAAATACTGATTATTTGCTCATTTCGTTCGTTTCTTCTCCTTGCACTTTCAGATATCAATAAATTGTGATACTTATGTAGATTAAATTAATAGGAGCAGGTTTTACCTTAATATGAGGTTGAAACATTTCTGACATTCATTTCTGAATGATCATGGAGTGTGCAAATCTATCATTTGGATAATATAACACAAATTTATTGAATGGTCTCATGTTTACTCAGCTGAGATTTCAGTGATGTGCAAATGAACCTGATAGAGACCGCAAGAAAGCAGAGGAGGTGGAAATCCTAAGCGATTTTTTGCAGGAAGAAACAGTAGGATTGGTTGGCATATAAGATGAAGCAAAAGAAAAAGGAGACAGGAAAAAGTCTACTGTCTAACCTCAGCAGTAAGAGGAACGATAGTTTCTTAAAGGAAAGTTGAGGAATAGAAAAAAGATACATATCCTGGGAAGGAAGAAGAGTTTATGTATGGAAATGCTTATTTTGAAATAGCAGCTGATCATTCATATGGCAACACCACATAGGCCTCGTGAATATAAAATTGAATGGCCAATGAGAGAGCAGGGATGTAAATGTGATGATATTATCAGTGCTTAAGTGAAAATTAAACACTTACATGTGACCAACCCAAAGAAATATCTAATGAATCTGACATTTGTGATCCCCCCAGGATCGGCTGAACTACAGTGAAGCTCACAGCCAGCCCGCCCCGCTCATCATCGGTTCATGGCATCAAAGTAGATTTACAGTCCTCTAAACCAAAAGATTACCAGATATAAAAGGAAACTTCTAACCTGAAAATGAGAGAACCATCACTAACAACAACAAGAAAATAAATATTTAACTTAGAAGAAGGAGAGACGGTTTTGGAAAAAAAAGACCTATTATCATCATTAACCTCAAAGAGGCAAGAAAAACATGATTGTTACCATGCAACAAGAACAAGACTGTACATGTGTCTAAAAAGCTGCATTCCAGAACATAAAATAGCTCTTGGAAATGAAAAATATGTTAGCAAGTCCTGATTGAAATGTGGGAAATAAGGTTGAACAAATTTCCAGAAAAGAACAAAAATGCGATGAGATCAAAATAAGGAGAACTTATAACACAATTAAAGACCAGCCCACGACATCTAATAAACAAATCAAGAGGTGCAGAGAGCACAAAGAACAGAGGAAGAAATGGTCAATGAAATGTTTCTTTTAAAAGTCCTAAAACTAAAGGACAGAAGTTTCCAGACAGAAAGGTTGTGTCTACACAGTGACTAACAAAATAGATGATACAAACTCAGAAAGACACATCATCACTTTATTACAAAATTTGAGAATACAAGGAACCAAAAGAAAATTGTGCAAGTTTCCAGAAAGAGAGAGGAAAACATACAACACATACACACAAAGTCTTCAATGAAGCCTGGCTTCAGACTGCTCGACTGCATCAAGAGAATGGAAGGCAAGAAAAGAAATGTCCTTAAAATTTAAAAGGATAATTCTTCCCAATTAGAACTGTCTTTCAGCCATGTGCAAGGATAGGGTGTGTGGAGGTCGGATGAAGGAAGTTTTACAAATCCAAGATCTCAAAAATTCCACCTTTTACATTACTAGTCTAAAGAGGCTATTGGAGAGGGTGCTTCACCAAAATCGGGGAGCACAAGAACTAGTTAGAAGGTTAGAAGGCCCAGGGGAGGCTGCTTCAGGAAGGTCAAATTTATGAAATTCATACGTTTCTGAATGTCTCGATAGGATGTTTCAAGGTTAGCAAAGAGTTTGGGGTTAAAATAATACAACTGCATAAAAAACTAAGCAAAAACATGAGCAAAATTTATGGTTTTTAATTCCAGGAAAAGTGAAGAATTTTTCAGGAAAATAAAGTAAAAAATAATTTTAGAGCTCACTATGAATATGTTTACATGCCCTAGCAAACTAATAAATACCTGAAATTGGACAATCAAGTCACAATACAAGAATGTTCTGTAGAGAAAAGAAGAGAAATTCTAAAACAGAGGGGATAATTGAAGAAACTGGTTGTGGGAACTATTATTGTTCACAGCCAACTTTGTATAACTGACATTAAATAGGAACATGAATAATTTTGACAATAATTAAAACTAAACCTTAGAAATATAGACTTTTCTTCACTGGTTAAACAAATGTAATATGTAAAGCAAACAATTCTTTTTTCTGACTTTATTCTTGGAAGTCTAGGATGCTCTGAATTGGTGAGCCCCCCAGAAAACTAAATTCCACTCTAGACATTATATTGCATTGTATTAGATGAAAAACATCATAAAAAGCTAGTCTGAACTCTCTAAAAATACATGTAGATTAACCAAAGTTTTACCAAAATATAAACTGTTATTCTTACTGCTATTATCATTATACTTCTATATTCAGGTTGAAGAAGAAAAAGTTCACTGATTGTGTGGGATGTTTTGCTTTTGTTCCTCCAGATACGCATTTCATCTTCTCTGCCTGCTCTCTGCCCTCGCAAACAGTGCTTTATAGATGATGTCTCTGCGCTTCCAGCCTTGTCTATCAGGTTGGATTTTTAAAAATGGACAACCAACGCAGGAAGTCAGAAGGAGGGAGGAGAGTGAAATCAGGGCATTTGCTCTGACAGCCCCACTAGGATGCCTGGGCTGGCTGTGCCCCTCGGTTGAATTTTATTGTTCCTCCCAAGTCCATTGATTCTATAGGACTCTTTCCTCCCAGATTCGAGTAATTAGTCTTTCTCCTCCTGCCTGTGATCTCCAACCCCCTCCACATTATGGCATTATCCTTCTTGGTTCCTCTATTTCCACTCTCTGTAAATAACCCTTCGATAAACAAACAGTCCATGTGATGTATCCTATTTTGAACGTGTTCATGGATTTCTGTTGGAATCTGGTGGGTATGGTAAAATATGATTAAATGTATTGACATTAAACAACCACTTCCTTGCCTTCTGATTTTATGGCTTATTTTAATATGGGTAGTGATTTTGTTCAAGCTATTTTGAACTTTAATGCGGTTATTGAGGAAACAAACAGTATTTATTTACATGTCAAGATCTGTCAACTATATAAATGAGCAAAGAAACTGCAATAGTTAACGGCACATAAGTTTGAGGTGAAACAGGAAATGATTGGGCCCTTCGGTGCAGCTACTATGAGGTATCATTGCATCAAAAGAGGATGCATGTAATTATCATGCATCATGTTTAACTTATTCTTTATTTACTCATGCCAGTTGTTCTGAAATCAAAGGCAGTGGCTTTGTCTTTAATGTAGGTGTATCACTGGGAGGAAAGAAAGGTTTAAACTAAGGTGGTTTTCTAAGTAATAAATCGCCTGACTTAAGTCCTTATTTATTTCTTATTATAAATCATGGTGGAGCTTTAACTTCTTGTTAATTGAGAAGGAGTGTGGCAAATATTCATTTCCACTTCGTTGGTAAACTAATTATAGAAGAATTGGGAGTAAGATTGAAGGAGGCAATATCAGGCCTTAGAAGCAATTTCTGCTTACAAGTGTACTAGTGTACTAACTTGTGCATTCTTTGTAAATCCTAATGGACCCTGCTTTTTCCTTCAAGTAAATTTTGTTCTTTGGAGAACAACTTTGCTAGCGTTCTTTTCAGAGAAATGTTATTTACTTCAATTCACTTAGAGATTATAGAAATATGCTCGACAAAGAAACACCATTTCCAAAAATGCCTTTAAAATGTTTCAAATCAGGTACTCAAGAGATCTTGGGTACTGCTTTATATCACTTAACTTGTTGTTTTTTTTTTTTTGCATTCTTTCTTGCTTACTTTTTCTTATTTTTGTCTTGATATAGCTCTTATTTTCAGATTACAGAATTGTAAAATTATTTGAAAAGTAGGGAAAAGCATAAGAAGGATATAAAATGTACATCAAATTTTATCATATTATGGTTAACATCCAGTGTTTATGTGTTTATAAATGAAATCATGCTATACATTTCATGTTTATTCTGTTTTTTACATAATGTTATGTAGTGATAATTATCTCATGCTGTTATTTACTTTTAAAAAAAAGATGAAAAATGTGTTAGGTTTTAATAATGGCAGAGATGAAACTTATCCATGAGTTATATGCACATACAGTGATTACTAATCAGGACTTGATTACATTTTCAACCTAAAATGCATAATTTGGAGGGGTAGGTCATGGATCGGGGTGGAAGAGTGCTGATGCTGGTGTGTAATGTCTAAGGAAATCAAGACAATCCAGCGCTATATGATGGATGGTTCATTGGATTAGACATCAAGCATCCTGGGTTCTAGGCTAGAAGGTACCACTTACTAACTATAACCTGGGTAAGTCAATCAACATAAAAATAAGATTTTAAGTGGTTGCATGCTCACCCATTATGTGTATATACCACATTTTATATAACTAATTCTCTATTGATGTTTATTTAGGTTCATTTCAGTTTGTCAATATTAAAACAAACGTGAACATCGTTGTATATAAATGAGGCCTAAAGTGCAATCTTGGTCACCTATACCCAAGAGATTATTTTTTTCTGCTGTTCTTCTGCTTGTTCGTTCAGTCCTTTGATCTAGGTACATATATGGAAAAGCAGTAATTTATAGTGCAAAGAAAAACGGGAGTCAAAGAGTTCAACGTTGAAATTCTCACTCTTCTTTCTAGGTGTTTCAACACTTGGAATTTACTTAATCTTTCTTAAAATAATGATGTAAGCCTTTGATGAGATTTTGTATAGGTTGTTTCACTCCTGCTCTCATGCATGGTTGGTGGACGTATGTATTCTACCCTTTGAGGACACAGCATGTCAAGAGCTGCTGGCAGATGTGCCATCTGATAAGACCAGGCGAATCAATGGTCATGTCCCTCCAGCTCTACCCCTTTGCTATAAAGTGGTTCCTTAGTCCAAGGCAATATCATGCTGGGTCTGTGTCAGTGGATTAAATGCTTCTTAAGTAGTTAAATAACGGTGCAGAAAAGGCAAACCTCTACCCTAGATATTTATTCTTTCTGTTCAAAATTAAACTGTTGTCTTTTTCAGGGTGGAAGGAATCTAATGTAATCAGTATGCTACCACGTTGCTGATGGGTTTCCTTTCAGTAGGATGCCGTATCAGGACTTAGTGTTGGTCTTTGTGGCTGACAAGTTGGTTGTTTAGCAACAAGAGTAGCTAAATCCACTTTGTTGCCTGGGAACTTAGGCAGTTGCTCCCATGCCTATCTTCCATCCTTACCACCATGAGTCTTTTGTGAATCTATGGTGCCTGCTATGAGGTGGACAATAACAGAGGCTGACTGATAAAGTCAGAATTACTGCTCAAGTGATTCTGTCTTCTTGGTGGTTTAGTGCCCCTTCTGTAGTGGACATTTGATGATGGGGGTTAAAAAGAAATGCAAAGCACCTCACCCTCCATGCCCACTTCAATAATACCATCAACATGCCTCTTCCCTGTACCTCCTTATCCTTGATCTTCAGAATTTTCTCTTTCCAGGCCAGGACCAATCAGCCAAGATATCTGTCACTGCATGAACCTTTAAATATTCTTACCTTGGGCCACTTTCTTTCTACACAAAGTGATGACTAAGCATATCACCTGAAACTTTGCTCATTGAGAGAATCCCCCTTACTACTGTCTTCAGTGGGGCAGAAGTACAGCAACAGACCGTTTAAGACCACATTCACAAATGGAACCAACCCATCTGGAACAAAGCTTGCTCTTTTCACTCCTCTGTCATATGGTGATATGAGACTGCACTCCACCCTATGTGGCCATATGTGAAAGGTATAGAGAGACATCAGTGCAACAGTGTTAAATGCCGCAGGGATATAGGCCATGTGCTTTTGATATGATGTTGCAGGGTTCTTCCTCCTAAGTACGTGGCATCTCCTTCAGTCCATGGGCTCAGGGTCTGGAAATAGGCTCAGGTCCATAAACTTGGCAAATGATTATGACTTTAATTTGGACTGTAGGTTTCAGTTTCCTGATTATTCTCTCTTACTCTCTTCCCCTCTCTCTCTCTTCTCAGTCTTCTTCTCCCTCCCTCTCTCTCCCTATTCCTTTCCTCCTCTCCCCGCTTAATTGTGTAAATTGAATAATGACCTCATTGGCTGTCCAACATTCTTGACCCTAGAGACACTGTGTTCTATTAACCACATCCACACCTCTTTGCAGTCAGGCTTTCTTGGCTTCCACTCTAACCTTGTCTCTCAAGATAATTATAACTCTACTTGCTTCTTGTTAGAAGATGATTCCACCTGGCCTCTTTTATGGAGGAAGCAAAGTGTGTGCAATCTGCATTGCTATCAGTGTGCTTAATTCTATAATAATATCTACCACCATCAGCCCTGTTACAAGGGACAGCACCACTGAGGTTTACAGTAATGCTAGTTTTCCTCTCACTAGTATATTCTGTACCATTTTGGTAAATGGAGTGCCCTCCAGGTCATTCTGCAGAACTTGGTAGCTGGTAGATTTTTCAGCCTTACCTAGAACATCCACTCTAACTTGCCTACTTCTCTGAACCTTTCAATCCTTTCATTCAGTGCCCGCTACAGACATTTCTGTTTAACATAGAGTGGCCATTACTTTCTCCATATTTCCAAGACCAGCATATTAATATTGTTTCCTGAGATCCTTGCCAGAGTGTTACATTCTGTATTATAGGAGAGTGCCCAGAACTTCCCCGGACACATTGTGACTTGGCTTTGGTGATTTGTGGTTGGCGGTGAGGGGAAGCATGGGTTGATCCTAAAGGGTACACATTTTGTCTTGAAAGGGAGAGGCTTCTGCTATATCTTTAAGGAAGAAGGTAGCTCTACCATCTAACAGTAAGAAGTGGGCCACTTCTGCAGGTCCAGAGAAAGTTCAGGGGAGTCTGGAGTCTCAAGGTTTTGGGTTTTTTTTCCAAAGACTGGCACCTGAGCTAACAACTGTTGCCAATCTTCTTTTTTTTTTTTTCTGCTTTGCTTTATCTTCCCAACCCCCCCGTACATAGTTGTATATTGTAGTTGCAGGTTCTTCTAGTTGGACGTGGGACACCGCCTCAACGTGGCCTGACGAGTGGTGCCATGTCCGCGCCCAGGATCTGAACCCTAGGCTGCTGCAGCGGAGCGCGCAAACTTAACCACTCAGCCATGGAGCCAGCCCCTCAAGGTTTTTGAGTGCAGCAAAACAGATGTCCTCTAGCTAGGTCTCAATACCCCACTCTTTCCCAACCATACTTGGAACAGCAAACGTGGGGCATGTTGAAGGGGCTAAGAATTAACCTTCCCTGAACTTTGCTACTCATATAATTAGGTCCTGGTCCAATTCATTAGACTTCTCTTTCCTCTCTTCCCTGAAACCCTACTACTCTTTATAATTAAGTTGTGGGCTTCTTCCTTAGGTTTTTCTGCCCTCTGGCTGTGGGAGATGAGTCTTTTTTTATTCAGCCAAGGAGGACTTCTGCCTTGCACACTTACTTTCATTCAGTGATTAATTACCTTCTACTTTTTAATGTCTTCCTCCAGTACGTAAATGGCACCTAGCAAGAGTTATCAAGATACAACTGTTCTTATAATTTTCACTTCCAAGAAACTTATAAAAAACAAAATATTATACCTGCCAGTGCATATCTATCTTATCTCAAAATAAGATGTTAACTATTGGCAAAATTTAACAGTTGCACTGCAACAGCCTGCAACCAATGGGGTCTTGTTTTGCAGGTGGGTGGCAAGTGGTCCAGTTCCAAAATGCTGTTTTAGAGTCAGCTTCCTTGGACCACTCCTCATACCAAGAGTTTTATGGTTTTCCTGGGAAACAGACTATGAGGTAGAGATTTTTATGCTGAAAATTTATAAGGGACTGCCCTCAGGGTCAACATCTGTGGAAGAGTGAAGAGAGCAAATTTGGAGAGAGGGAAGAATTGAACTGTGCTGTATTTACATCAAAGATCTCA